ACTGCCAGCAGCTGGAGTAAGGCCCAGTTCCCCCGGCTCCATGGCACCAGTTTCAACTGGACCACAGCGGCTGGGGCCTTGACTGGTGTAAGCGTGAAGTCTGTGAGCATTATAGAACAGAAATCTTAGAACAGAAATCACTGTTTGTTATACCCATCCTGCTTATTAAATAAATTTTAGATTAGAAGTCATTTAGGGTCTGTTCTAGTGGCTACTCTACCCCAAATTCCACTACGACAAAGACAAAGCAGTGATGACCCCCTTCTCCCTAACCCTATATGTGCTCTCCTTACCACCTTCACAATCCACTTCTTCTCTAACTCTATGCTAGTCCTATTGTGCATTACTTCTTACCCCTGCATAGCACCTTATCCTAACCACATATACATCTTACAGCTTCAAGTGTTCCCATCCTGTATTTCTCCTCAGTCCCAAATGCCATTCTACATGTTAGCTTTCTCTTAGTCCATTGCCGGACACACTTGTCTCTGAAGCACGTAGGTAAGCGGAGGCCCTCTTTGGGTATGGAAGCCAGTACAGGCATATTTTTCTATATCTTCATAAAACTAGCACCTGAGCTGACAGGTGCATCCTCTAAATCTGATCATACTTGCTCCCTAACTCAGCCTACTCAAGGCAAACAGGACTGCATCACTTGGGACCACATGGCTGTTTCTGTCCAGTCTACTGACCAAAGTCCCAGGCACCAGCAAGACTCTGCAAGGGCCTGCATTCATTCCTTAGATGTAACCCATAGATAACTGAAAGTAGGGTTTTTTGGCAGAGTTTAAATCTATTCAATTATATCCTATCCAATATGCCACTCCTGAAATAACAAACATCTTAAATGCAAATAAATAATAAGAAAAAAATACCTGCTTTATTGCATAAGGATGAGGCAAACCACCAACAAATATGGATCCTGTTTCAAGCCGATATGAATTGGACCAGAAATTGCTAGGCATACTTGTCTTTGTAGATATCCCCGCGACTGATATTTCTGCTTCACATGGTGCCATGCCTTGCCTGCATAAATTTAGAAATAGATATATATTACCACCGTGTTAAACTTTACATTACTGTCTATCTGACAGATTAATTAGGCTGTTACTAAAGCAATGAAGAAAGAAAATCAAGTAAATAGCTCTTTTTATACTAAAGACTATAAACATAAAAGAAGCTGTTCGATTAACAAGCTGTAAGTTGGCATGGCTTTGGGGTTTGAACTTCCATTAAAACAAAGTCATATTGTAAATCTGAACAGCATAACTGCTAAAAAAAAAGTCAAAAAACATAGTAATCGCTGACTAAAAAAAGATAGAAAACTTTTAACGATAACAAGTAGACTTTGCAAACTGAAAGAAAAGGACTATCTCTTGACTGGAAATATTTTAAATATCATTGCTTTTTGATAGGGAAAAAATGATAACCCAGAAAAGCAATTCAAAACAAACTGCATTTAGAGAGTGCAGATCTATTATAACCTTTAATCTTTAACATCTAAAGCATCATACCTAAGATTCAAAACTGCAGTATTAGGCACTGAAATTAATACATAAATTCCCTTTCCCCTCCCCTGTCCTCACACACACACTCTTAATGGTGTCAGTACAAGATCTGATTTCAGTTTAGATAAGCATAAAAGGCATGAATAAATTGCTAACAATAAAGAGATGGTGCAAGGCAAATAATTTGGTTTTCCTCTATTTTTTTTTAAATGATGCAAAGCTCATTTACATTCCCACAACCAACTGGAGCAAGCACTCTGTCTTCATGAAAGGAAGCACAGTGAAGAAATATCAGAACTAAACAAGTCTCTCAGGTAGGAATTTCTTTCAGCCTCTCCCTTTCTTTACACAGCGAACAGCCAGAGTTCTGGTGAAGCTAATTGTCAAAGAAACAGATTTCAGTCACTTGTATGATTAAAAATGTTCAAGTGCCTTTGTAATACAGGTCTCACAAGAAATCTACGTCAAACTAGCATATACCAAACAAAACTATAAAATAACAGCCTGTAATTGAGCTAAGATGCTACAGATTAAGCATGAATTCAGTTAATCTTTGGTATTGCAAAATCAACTTCTAAAACTTACTATTTAGACATAGCACATGAAAAGAGGTTTCATTTTCTTTCTTAAAAAAAGATTTATCCCACCAATTATTTAGTAAGGTCTTTTTCCTATCAGCTTTGTCAGTCAGAGGAAGGAAACTTACATTAGCAACATCTGTACACAGTTTGCTGTTTACTTTCAGTATAATCCTGTTCTGTGATACTTTCAGAAGAACACGCCGACGTGGTATTACGTCTTTTAACAAAAAGGACTATAATCATTTTTGCAAAGCAAAACAGCTTGACCATCCTATGGTAAGCAACTTCAGGGGAAAACACAGAGTTTTGTTTTGTTTAAAATCAACATAAAATAACAGAAAAAAGAATGCCTTTACAATTTTGTGGACTAAAAATAAACTTTTTAAGGGACCTGCTCATGGAATAATGTCTTTTTTTTAATCTCAGTTTTTACAAAAAAGCAGATCATTTTTGAAATGTGCTAATCAATAGCTATCATGAAAAAACAGGAGAAAATGGTATCCAAAACTGCAATCAAGGTAAGGAATGTACTCCTACCATTTCTTGTAGCTATTGTGCAAGGGTTATATGCATGAGCACATATACAAGGGTCTGCAGCCCACCATTTTCATTCTTTGCTTATGTTGCTGACGGTGTGTGTAATTCACACACGGACATATTTCTGCTAAACATTCTCACTGTCTCTGTTTCCAATGATCAAGCATTCCTAAGTGTGACCCAGTGTGACATCTTGGATATATTCATTCTTAGCTGGAAGTTTGGGTAACAGTTCAAAAGAAGAATCAATAATTTTTAAACACCTAACAATTTTTTCCCTTCCTGATCAAAGGAAATAATATTTATGAATAAATAATAGGATAATAATCTTTCTGAAATAATTTAAATCAGACTTGTTTAAATGCAATGTAATTCTCAAGATTGGAGAGGAACAGGGTCAGAAGGGGAACTGACTGACAAGAATTTTCATTTTTGATTTTTTAAAATTCATTTACAGCTATGCTAATGGAAAGGAAGTTGCCTACGCAATTTTTCTTTTTTTTTTGGAAAATTACTATTCTATGTATTTTAAAATGCTAATACTGTAATTGGTTACGTGACCATGTGTATACTTGTATTACACAAGCACTCTTATTTACGGGTTTAACTCTTTTCACAGTAGCTTTAGATATATTTGTTAGCTAGTCTTCAATAGCTTATATGAGAGATATGCAGAGATATTTCTGTTTGCATATATAAATATATTCTACAATTATTTTTCTGTACTTTATGTCAGAAAATAAGTTAATGCAATTCAAGAGCATGTGAGCTGCCTTCACCTTAAGCTTGTTAGAATATCCCCATGCACCCTTGATTGTGCTTGATTGAATCTAGCAGGGTTTGACCAAACTAGAATAACAACCTCACAACATTATTCTTAAGCATTTGCTGATGATACAATCACCTGACAGTATATGCACTCTATGAGATTTCCATCAGGCTTTTAAAACACGTTTTCTACAATCAGCATGTTGGGTCTTTTAAAGGTCAAGCAAGAAGATGGAGTTTTTTGCATAATTATAAATGTGGAAAAGCATACAGCAACTCTCAAGCACCTCTGCTAGCTAAGTACCAGTAATTGTGCCTCAGTCCAACCCAGCAGTAACAGTTCACAGATTTATCACTTGTACTCGCATAAATGTAATCATTAAATACTGGCCTACTAATTACAACCTGAAGATGAGTTCTGTCTAAATAGAATTAAATCCAGTGCTCAATGTCTTTCAGGTTGGAAGGATGGAAAGGTCAGAAAAATCATTCAATACCTGTTGGTATAAGCGTACCTAAACATGACAATATTTACATGAAATCCATATCCTTTCACATAATGCTCTTACTTGCTGACATCTGTCAGTGATGATTAAATAACATGTTTGGGGTTATCATAAAAAGATAAAAAAAAGATAATAAAACAAACAGAGAAGGAGAGAGGGACATCCAGAAAAAATTTTAAGTATCAGACATGCTCTGCAGCCTTGCTGGGAATAAAGCTACTCTAATCCGTCTTCCTGAAAAGAAAGGGAAACCTTTTGTTCTAAAAATAAGATTAAAACTTTCACCTGCCTCTAGCAATTTTACTTTGAGTGTGATCATGCTAAAAAAAAGGCAATAAACTAAGAAAAAACAACAGGTTTGAAAAAACTGTATTAAACATGAGTTGTGAAGTATAAGGATTAAATGGTAGTTTTATTGTGTATTTTAAAAATCAATCCCAGGTTACCTGACTTTATTGAAGACAATCGATTAGAGCTCAGACTTTTTTTTTTGCTTACTTTGTTTAATCATTACCTTATAGACTTCTTAGCTAAAAAAAAAAAAAAAAAAAAAAAAAGAAAGCAGACTAGTCTGTTCCCCTCTGTTTCAGGTCAGTATCTAAAGTATCTAATAGGTTCCATTTTCTGTTTTCATACTGTATCTGCTCCTTGCAATAGAATGTTTAGAAATAGTAACGAAATAATAGAACTATTTTCACAGATAAACAAGTTACAATTTTTTAATGCATACTTCAAATGCAGGATCAATTTTGAGTCAGTACTGGTTTTAAAAAGCTTAAGGCTTTGTAAAGGCATTTGAGATGAGTTCAAGACTGGAACAGGTGGACATCTTGCCTAGTGAGGCTGTGCAGGCTCCATCTTTGGAGGTTTTCAAGACCTGAGTGGGTAAAGCCTTGAACGGCCTGGTCTGACCCCATAGCTAACCCGTCTTTGACCACGGTTGGATTAGAGACCTCCTGAAGTCTCTTCCAGCCTGAATTATCCTATGATTCTATTACTCCGTGACATTTTTCACTAGGGGACCCAAATCTTCACACAACTGTAGTAAACAAAAACTCCATAGTAAAAATGTTTAGAGAATAAGGCAAAGTTTCCCATTATCATCAGTAAATTTATTTAAACTGGATATACATCAGTTAGTCAGAGTCATTAGATTTTTACTCCGCAGTAAGATGCATCGTTTTAGATTCCTCACATCTGGTGGTCCTAATTGTTCCCTACTGAGATGCCAGGTAACACACACTTTAACGTTGCAGATGAATTAATGAGTAACAACTTATTGTTTCCTGGTTCCCTCTGGCAACAGACTCATGTTTCCTGGACCTGGAACTGATTTCTTAACCTTTCTTAGAGCCCGAGCTAACTAACTAAGCTGAAGCTTTAGCTGAAGTTAAAGATGAAGCTAATGACAAGGCATCCTGTAAATTTCTCTAAGAATAGAGAGGGGAAAAAAATCTTTGTTTTGTATTCTAAGGAACGAATAAATATGGTACCCTCTAATTCTTTTCATAGAGAGTACACCTATATTACTAAACTGAAATGGTCCACAACATGAGCCAAAGTCTTGACACATATCAACCTTACTATTACAAAGTTACCACAGTTCTTGTTTTAGTTGCCACTCAGGCTAGCTATCGTCTCCCATTCTGAAACTGAGAAAGTTCAGTGGTTAGCATATTTCAGCAATCATTCCTAGCTTAAATGTTGCCAACCTTTTTGCAACATGTAATTTTAGTGACCTGCCAGTTGGCCTCAGGTCTACAGAATAGTCTTCAGCTACTTTTATTTACTACTATTTACAACTACAAATTCAGCCAGGAAAAATGTCTGTGCCGGTCTCTGGCCATTTATGTCTTTGCAGTGTAGAGAACTTCAGCTTCCCTGCTTCTTACATTGTGACAACCTTAAATGATATTTATGGCAATTAAAGTTAGACAAGAATATGCACTCATTTCAAGTTAATTTAGGCTGATATAGGGCTCTGAAATTTAAATAAAGAGTCACTTACTGCCAGCTTGGCACAAATGAGACTACTATATTCAAGCATTCAGACAGTGGTAAGTTTAGGGCTGGATCTAGACTTGCAACACTGACATTTTATTCAAGTGAAAGTTAAAGACTTTGCT